GGGGGACTCACCCCACACCTACTAGGAGGCCACTGTCACAAAGACACAAAGGGCAGGTAGAGGGGCATGTGCCTAGTGGGGCCACCGGAAGCTGCAGAGGCTCCTCAGGACACTGACAGGGGGTCACCACAGGATGCAGCAGTCCCCACCACTGAGCCTAATTCCAAAGGGCATGAAGCCCATGTAGCAGAGGCACCCGCACCCCCAGGGCACCCAGCACCATGCAGTGGCCACCCTGAGAGGCCAGGCTGGCGTCACAACAGAAGCACCTTCAGGACAAGATGGTGCACGCGATGGGAAGCCCGGCCTCCAAGGGGGGGAGTGCTGCTCTTCGGGGTGACCTGGGGAACCTGCAGCCATCGTCCTCCGGAGGGAGCAGCTGCGGGACCAGGGTGGGCGTCCCACGGTGGAATGTTGAGCGGCGAGCTCCAGGAAGAGCGATCGTGTCCACCTGGGGCTGGCAGGGAGGGGCGGGGGCTGATCAAAGACAGGAGGCTACGACCCATGCAAGAGGAACAACAGCCACACAAAAGTGCACCTTGCACTTCACGATCCTGAGTCGAGTTTGCACTTCTCACCACTAAAGAGAAGCAAGTATGTGAAGCAAGAGATACGTTGGTCGCTCCGGTGTGACAACTCCAGGTTGCAAACATGCATGGGAACTTTGCACCATCCACATGTGCAACTGTTTTGTCAATTGAAGTGAAATTTAAGAAATAAATTCAGTGGACAAAATGGGAGATTCCGTAAAGAAAGACTTAAATTTAATGAAATCACAAAGAAGAATAATTGAAAGAAAGAAAGTGCTGACGAAGAAAAGCTTTTTAAGCAATCAAGAGAGAAGTCGCCTGTGTTGACGTGGTGGGTGCTGCCTGGAGCCTGGCGCATGGTGGGCCATCTCACCTGAGAGCACCGTGGGACGCTGGCCACACATGGCCCTGGCCCACGGGGCCTGGTATCTGGGATTTAGGCTAAGAATTGAGCAGCAGGGGAGAAGTCCCTTTCCAGGCTGCTGGAGTGAGCACGGCCCACGGCCGAGCTGCCTGGACCCACACCTACCTGTGGCACTGCTGGACGGCTTCAGCAGGCAGCTGCCCATGTACAAAGCCCCGACACCCCATGGCAAGGTCACAGGACCCAAGTTCACTCCAGCTACCACAGAGCTCTCAGAGGGTGTCGTCCTCATCATAAGTGGCATCATTCACCCTGGGCTTCCGGGTGTAGGGGATGGAGCCCAGGGCACTCTGCCACGGAGCTGTACCCCAGCTCCTTTTATTTTTGATTTTGAGACAGGGTCTCCCTTAAGTTGCTGAGGCTGGCCTTGAGTCGCTGTCTTCTTGCCTTCAAAATCATCAATGGATTAAAGACAAAGATCTTTTTGCAAAGTAAAGTGTTGACATCACAGGGCTGATTCCCCTGGCCTGGACTCGCACAGACGGGTCCCTCCCTTGAAGGACGATACTGACCACTGGTGAGACTGGGGTGTGGTCATGGTGCACAGCGCCAAGCCTGAGCTCCTTGGATGCGATGGCTGTACCATGGTGACGGGAGACAGCCCCACGGCCTCTGCTCTTAGGAAGCGTGGGCCACAGCGTTACCGACCAGAAGGCAGAGCACGGCTCGTGGGCAGAGGCTCCCTGGGGTCCTGGGAGAACCGATTCTGTCCGGCCCAAGATCAGCGGCCCAGAAGGGCTGTCTGCACTTCCCCAGCTGTCCCTTGCCTGGTGGCCCGTGCACAGCTCCTGGCTACCATGTGAGGCCGACAGAGAGGGAACCAGCGAGGTGGGGCAGCTGACCTCCCACCTCCTGACTCCAGCACCGCTCTCGGCCACAGTTCCAGCCACACAGGCAGCTAGAGGACGGCCGGGACATCCTCCCCAGGTCCTTGGCTCTTCACCCCGGCCTCTGAGGGGCAACGGGCCGTCAGAGCAGTCTCCCCGCTCACACGTCCTCCTCTTACACCAGAGCAGTGGGGTGAAGGTGTGTGACAGACACCGGAGGACCCTCCACCCGTCTGGGTTTCTAACCCCACTCTCCACCCACGGGCCCTGGGAGAAGACTCCAGGGCTGGAGCAGAGATGGCACAAGATGGCCCTGGTGTCGCATCGTGCCAGAAGGTCGGGGCCACTCGGCAAACCAAGCCGGGAGCACACAGGCTACACTGAAAGGGCACGAGGCCGAGCTGGAGCAGTGTGAAGGACAGAACAGAGGGCGGTGTGGACTCCGACCCCGGTGCACAGCACAGATCCCATGAATGAGCAAATGAGGCGAGGAGGCAGGCCTTACTTGGGAGAGAATTTCAATTAGTACGTTCAGACACTCCCTCCAAGAAGGGGAGGGCTGGACTCGCGGCCACAGTAGAGATGGGCAAGAGGAGAGGACATGCCTCAGCAAGTCGTGAAGGCTGACAGAGACAGGCGCCCGACATGATGGAAGAGCACCCCACACCCTGGACTAGAGGACAAGCCACACCCGGCCCACTCCTGGGAAGACAGGGAGGAGAGGGGGTCACAGACCCGAGGAGGGAGGACAGGGGACAACCCAACAGAGCTGAGCCGTGGGTGGGACTCCGGGACAAGAAGCGGTGGCACTCTTGGTAAAACAGAGGCACGCAGAGTTCCCCTGGGGCTGAACAACAGCCACACACCACTCCCAGCCCTGAGCTGTGCCAGTGCCTGGGAAAGCAGGAGGTGACAGGAGCCTGTCCCGGGGCTGCGGGGCCTCTGCCTTGTCTGTACAGCCTCAGGGTGGCTCGGGTCACTCAGAACAACAGGCTGTCTCTTTAGGAAATGTTGAAGGTCTAAGCCAAGGTGCTGGTGGAGAGACCAGTGGTCGGGGAAGCATGGGGGCTGAGGGGTGCAGGCCCCAGGGCCCCCATGCCATTGCACCTGCCCACCTGCTCCCGTGGGCTGGGTAGGTTAACGTGTCCCCAGGGTGCAGCACTGGAAGATTGAGCCCAGTGTGGCAGTGCGGCGGCATTGAAGAGGCGGGGCTTAGCAGGAGGCACCAAGGCCACTGGTGTGCCCTCAAAGGGACCAGCACAGTCCTCGTGGGGCCCCAGGTAGTTCTCTCAAAGGCAAGCTGTTAGGAAGGAGCCCCTCACTAGCTCTGGTTCCTGTTTGGTGGAGCGAGCTCCCCTCTGTGCACCTCTGCTGCTGTGATGCCACCTACCGCGAGTCCTCACCACAGCCGGGATGACAGCCATCAGCACCTGCCCTGAACCTCCAAAGTCAGCCAAGGCACCAGGCCTCAGTCACTGCATAACATTACAGAAAACAGACCACCCCCCCCCCCCACAATGAACCAGGCCCAGAGTGGACCCTAGTGAGCACGGTGGCCTGTGGTGACACGCATGTCTGTGCAGGCCCACACACGTGCACAACTCTGAGAAGATCTACTTTGGCAGGAGGCTCTGCATGACTGGGTGCAGGGTGTATGAAGAGTCTGTGAGCTTTCCTCTCGATTTTTCTGTGAACCTAAAACTGCTCCTGTGATTTCAAAGATGTGGTCTAAGGTACTCATTCCTTTATCTGCTTCTTTCCTAAAAACCACGATGGCTAAACAAAAACGACTGCTGCAACTTGGAAAATAAGTGAAAGCTGGTCACAAAATAAAGGTCAAGTGCTGGACACTCTGCCTACGCCCACCTCACCAAAGGTGCTCCCAGGACCGCTGGCCACCACTCAATGCAACAGCCACCCACTGACAGAGAAGCAAAAATGACACCCCAAAATTCTTGCTGGCTCTGGTTCTGCAGCTATGGGACCTCCTGGCAGCCTGTGGCTTCCTGGGGACATGTGGGTTGCTAGTGTCACCTTAGGGAAAGACAACCAAAACGGTGGATCTGTGTCGGCCTGAATCAGCGAGAGAGAAAAGGCTCTTCATGTGGAAGGCAGACAGAAGGCCGGGCTGGGGCTCAGCGGGGGCTCGCACAGCACACGGCACCCCGCGACCGCCAGCCCCTCCCACCCACCCTAGGCTGGGACCCCTATTCAGCGGTTGCCGAGGTGGACGCTGGGATGAGCTTCGGTTTGGCCTGCTGGGGCGGCCAAAAGCACCTGCCTAGCACGTGTGAGGCTCTGGGTTCCATCCCCAGCACCACATAAAACAAAAAAACACCCCAAATAAAGCAAACAAAACTAAACCACTGGGTAGGGTCACTTCTGCCAGGGAATCCCAGCCTCTTTCCAAAAAAAGAAAGGAACTTTTCAAGGGAAGGGTGAGCTCACATGTGAAGTCTTGGAACCTCTCAGGAGGCCCGAAGTCGGCTGGGTCTCTGCTCCCTCAGGGTGCCCTGGGTCTGTTCCAGTGAGTGTCCTGTGGGTGGCCCTCCCTTCCTACTTAATGAGCTCTGAAACAGGGCAGGCAGCTGCCCAGGGTTGTGCTCTCCCCACGGAGGCATCTGGACCTGGTGTAACTTCTCCAGCCGCACACACAGGCTCACTCCTGGGGACCTGGGCGCTCAGGGCCCCTCTGCCCGTGTCAGCGGTGGCTGCCCAGCCCCACGGGAGGAGCTGTGAGATGGAGCCCTCCTGGGAGGGGCGCCCACATACCTGGCTCTCCTCTGGACTAAGCTGTGCCCCTGCAGGGAAATCCTGACCTGATCAAGTCAGGAGGGTCATGAGTCAGGAAGATCAGCACAGAAACACAAGGTGACTTTTCAAGTTTTATTAGTCAAGAGCAAGAGAAAACTGGCCAGGGAACAGTGGGACGTGAGAGCTGCTGGGCCCGGCCTGCACCCACCTCCTGGGCCGCCGCTCAGGTCATGGCCCCACCCACAACCAGGAGAACAGAGCTGTGTCCATCCTCCACCAGCTCCCTGTCCTGGCCCCGTGAGCACAGAAACCGTCCAGCCTTGGGAAAAGCCAATGAAGACAAGCACCTAATGCCCAAACCAGAAACTAACGTGTGGCCCACTCTGGACGCACATGCAGTCCACTCGCACAGCACACGGCACCCCGCGACCTCTAGCCCCCCCCGCCCACCCCAGGCTGGGACCCCTATTCAGCTGCTGCAGAGGTGGACGCTGGGATGAGCTTCGGTTTGGCCTGCTGGGGCGGCGGGACATCCGGGATCTTCTCCCCGTGCTTGTACACGCTGATGGTGACGTCGATCTTCTCTCCCCCGTACTTGTTCTTGACGTTCATGCTGTACTTCCCTGAGTCCTCGGAGGTCACCCCCTTGATGGTCAGGCTGACGAATTTGGCCTGCTCCACCTTCACTGAGAAGTGTTCGCTGAGCTCGAGGTCCATGTCGTTCTTGAACCAAACCACCTCAGGGTCCGGATTTCCAAACACCGTGCAGGTCAGATTCAAGGTCTTCGGGGGAAGCGGTGGGGAGGGAAAAGAGAGGGGAAAAGGGAGGTCAGGCCGTCTCCCAGTGCTCACGGTCATCGTTACAGTGACCAGTCTGCGAGCCTGTCCCACACCCGGGCAGCAAGTCACCCTAAACCGCGTCAGAGAGCACTGCACGTGCCATGAGAGCCCTCCCTGCTCACCTCGGAGAGCCCTCCCTGCACGCCCTGGCATCCCCGCCACACGGCTCTGACAGCCCTTCCCGCTCACAGTCCTGGAAGAGCAGGTATGAGGGCCCGTTTCATGGCAGCTCACCCAGAAACCAAAGGAGTGGTTCAGTGAGCGCCAGCTGGGAGCCGGGCCTGGGTGGGTCAAGAATGTGTGGGCAGTGGAGCTCTGCATTTCATAGCAGGTGCCTCAACCGTTTCTACAGTCCCTCTATTTCAGAAATGAATCCTTTTACCAGTTCCTCTTCGCATCCAGAGAATACGTGTTCTGACAGCTAGCAAGCTGGATGCAGCACTGCACTCTCAGTGCACGTGCAGACACTCTCAGCCTCTGACAACGCAGCTGCTGATTTCTCAATTACATCTTTAGACAAGAGCCATTTCTATTCTGTCCCAGGGCTCTCTGGGCTTCGTCAGCTGCTAAAGGGAAGGTCTATAAATTTTTGCATTTTGGCCTGATAAAATCCTCTCAAGTATCCATGTCCCTGTGACCTTGCATTAGAATCACTGGAGCAACCAGAGAATTACCAATTAAATATCAATAATTGTACTGACAGGCAACCAATTAAATCTCCAATCAGGGGTTTTCATTATATATTCCAGAATGAGAAGTGGAGTGGAGAACTTCTTTCATGTGTTTCATAAAAGCTGTGACTGCTGATGCCGAAGGGGCTTTCACCTTCATGGGGGGAGTGTGGGGGAGTGCCCCACCTCCTCCTTGCTCAGCTATTCCTGAGTGGCCACGGACCAGGGTCGTCAGACCTGGTGGGCCCTGACGGTGCCTGAGTGTCACCGCCCTCTGTGTCTCAGAGGTGCCGTCTGAGGATTCAGAATACTGAGCTTAGCTTTTGGTTTTGTTTCCAGTGCTGAGGATTGAACCCCGAGCCTCGCACACAGGAGGCAGGCACTGCACCCCTGAGTCGTGTCCAGGATCCGGGGCCACTCCATCCTCCGACACTGTAGAGATGGTCACAATGGCCAGAGAGAGGCGGGGGGGGGGGGG